GCTGGCAAAGCGGAGCTGGTACTTCTGTCAGTTGGCTGCTGCTCTGCAGCTGCAGAGTCGCCCACGCGGAGTCCTTTTGCGAACATGATTTTATGCAATTTTCATTTACTTTCGCCAACTGCTGATTCTGTGTTTCGACTTTATCAGCTCGTGTTTGAAATAAATTTTGAGCATAAATAGCTCAAACGAAAACTGTGAAAAAATGCGAAAACTCCTGCGAACTGCAGCTGATTATAGAGAGGGGAACAAAAGAGAAGGCGAAAATAGTGAGAAAACTATTCGCAGCATTATTTTTTTTTTTTTTCTCTATTTCGTGTCGCATAGACGAGGCTAAGCTTTTGATCAATTTTTGCCGCCCCGCAGGCAAAATGCATTGAAATTGTTTGGCATTCTATCTCGCGTAAAACCAAGCTTAAACCGGATTAAAGTATTATCACGGCAGTCGAATCAGAAACTATAAAACTATTTGGAATTCCTTAGTTGAGGGTGTAGCAAAACTTTTCATTTTATTTTTTTCATGCTTTTCGCTTCAGCATTAAATGAAAATTTAATCCATTTATGCTTTTACCAGTTTATATAAATTAAATTAAAATAGTTATTATCTGAAGAATAAGTCCTATCAATAGCCTTATTTCAGCTCAGTAACATTTAAGTAATATTTAAATAAAGCAACTTATTTTATTTATATTAAAAGTTTGTGTTTGATTAGCTAACACAAATTATAGATGAAGAGAGCTGCAGGGTACTCGAGATAAATTAGTCCCCAACTTCAGTCAACCTCTTCTTCATCAGTTAATTAAGCAGAAACAATCATATTGATTGCACTTAAGCAGATCCTCAATCTTTGCCTAATCAGTGTCAATATTTATCGAAGATTGCTCGATGAAAGGCGACCCAAAAACTTGGACAAAAACTTTGCAGACAAAAGCACCCAAGTTTGAGTCACAATTGTTTGGCGAATGTCTGGCTAAGGACTTGGGCTGACTCAAAGAAGGACAGATGGAAAGGAAGTCCCACCCGCTTCAGGTGTGAATCCGCAGTTCCGTGTGACTCGGTGAACGCGGCTCAGCGCTCATTATTTATGTGCACCCAGATAAGAGCAGTAAAAGTCACTATATGTGTGTATTTGTGTGTGTTTGTATGTGTGTGGGTGCCTGCTTGTTGCTTATGCAAGATAATGAATTTATGTATGCGCTCATAATTTACAATTCCCTGAGCCTTGATTATTTGCACTGAATAAATTTGCTCTGGCCCACGTTGCGTATGCGTAACTTGAGAGTTTAATGAGGCGCAACAAATAATAATGTGCATTATGAGAGATAAAAGGGACTGGGATTCGAGTACAATATTCTATGAAGCACACCCACACACACACATACACCTACAGACATGTATCGATCTGCTGTCTAATTAGATTGGCATTCCGCATGCAGAGCATGCAAAGGACGAATGCCAATCAGCGCTGAATCACAAATCCCACATGCTCAGCGCGGTGCTCACGTTATGGGGTGCATATCTCTGCCACGTGCACGCCCCTGAGCCCCTACGCCCCTACGCTCTTACGCCCTTACGCCCACGCGAAAGCATCCGAAATAACGCCCATGTCAATAAAACGCTGACGTTCTGTATGCGATTCTGATTGCGAATGCGCTTGGGATTGGCATTTGGATAAGGAAGGGGGGTGCTTACACCGTTGTCTTAGCTGCAGTTTTAATAACTGTCAGTCCGGCTGCAGGGCACGTCTACACAGCACAACATATATCTCTATCCGTTTATATATAGCTACATACATATATACATATATTGCAAATCATTTGACGTCGTTGCAGCTGTCGGCAACAGCGATTACAACTGACACATTCAACAGGATAATAGAAGTCACATTGATTGAAAGCGATGCGATTGAGGCACTCAACGTACAATTTACATTTGAATTGTTAAAGTAAATAAAACAAAAGTCGATTTCAAGGTCAAAGCAGCTCAAGATGAAGGTAAAATTGTGTTGAAGAGGCAAAGGTCAATTCTGAATGATGGAAAATTAAATTAATATTTATTTTTGAATTAGAATGAGGAAAATGAATCAAGAATGCCGTAGTGGATAGTGAAGACTTCTTTTCAATCGTCACGCATCCTTAGACTCATAATGAATTACTCTACAAAGAACAACTGAAACCAAACAAATATACTCTTTTCATTTCATAAAAAAAATAACAAAATTATAACAAATAATTTCTACCTTAAATATATATATAATAT